CTTCTGCAACAAGCGGTTGCGCGAACTACTCAGTAAGCCAGCAAAAAAATAGAGGAGGGCCTCTCCCAATCTTTGGGCCACATGGTAATCATCGGTGTTGCCATATTCCACCTGAATTATACTAGCCACCTCTCCCTCCATAGCAATAAAGATTCCCGCCCCTCATGATTTGGTTGTGCTACGCTGTCTTTTTGGCTGGGCGGGGGCTCATTTTTCAATACACGAGAGCCATAAGTAGTGCCCATAGTGCAATCGGCTCCTGCAAGACCCGTGTCAACTTGGAGTCTCTGTACGGAACGAAGGCTCGCCTGCAAAGGGCCATGGGAATTCTGGGAGTCGCTTCTATTGTTAGGGATTATGGCGGTAGATAACTGCTATACAACTTTGAGGGCCCATTTGGGAGGCCAAAGCCTGAGCAGCACGATCCCCCAAATGGAGCAATGCAACAAATGCAGACGTAAAAAAAGGCACAAATGCGGCCTTCCACCAGCAGAGGCGGAGCTCAGCGCATTGATCACATTGCTCAACGCCTCGGCTTGCAGGGTCTTGTGTCACCACGATATATTCGTGACAGCCAGAAATGGCAGTGTTGACATGCAATGTGACTGGCCCTCAACACTCTCACTGACTGCAGGCATGCTGCGCTGAGGGATTTGTTGATGTTGGCGCCTTCCTGCAGGTTTTGCTAGACTTGCACACGGGAGGGAACAACCAAGCAGCCCTTGCATGCCCAGTGAAGTGTCACTGAAGATCGGCTCTAGGAGCATGCGGAGCCTATCTCCGCATCCTAAACGCCCCTGAGAATGCCAACGCATGCCTTGCCGTAACGTGAACATGGACGAAGTGCTGAAACAGCCGTACGCATTCTGAACCGTTCAAATGCCTGTGGGTCAAAAGTGCCCTATACATGAACAAGGCAAGCTGTGGTCATCTGCGCTACGTTGTGAGATGCTGTAGTCCTCATGAGGTGTGCGCTATCCAAGGGCAAGGTTAACGCCGGCAACCATATTAATCTTCTCAGTGGTTGGAAACCAGGGCCCACTGGACAGCAAAAAAAATGCTCCGCCCAAAAAACCCACACATGCAACAAATCCTGTGGTATTATGCAAGTTGCACGTGCTTTACCCTTTAAACCCTGAATCTCAAACGCTATGCCCGTCTTGGCATCTGTTCCCGCTTATGCATCCAGCCTGCAACTGCAACGTATCTGCCGAATACTCTGAAGCCCTATATAAACACCTTGAACACCCCCTAGCTGCTGAGATTCCTGGCCTCAAGAAGCGAACTTCTTATATATATATATATGAATATATATATAGAGAGATATATATAAATATCTACATATATATGCTAGGATCATATATACCTCAAAAAGTAAATGTTAGCCACTCAGCAAGTAAATCCCCACCTTCACCTGGCTGCGCTCTTCGGAGTCGTTGCGCTCGGAGCCCGCAAGGTCCACAAGATTTAGCTTCGAGATGGTGTTCCTGACCATATAGGGGTTAGGGACGGTCAGGGTGTAGGCTTTGGGCTTCCTGACCATGAGTCTGGGTCGTTGCTGGGTACATCTTGTAATGATATCCCAATATGGAAATGGCTGGCGGAGTTCAGTAAGGTATTAGAGAGGCGGGTTTGAGGTGGTTGGGGTCCGATTGGGCCCAGAGAGGCAGTACAAATGTCTGCATAAGGAATTTGTTCCCAAAATGCAACGACAGAGTATAGGACTGCATGACAAGAATGATGCAGATGGGCTCTGGAATACCACAGCGATTTTTCCAAAAACGGTGTCCTGATAATTCTGGGCTCCCACGAGATTTCAGACAACGGTAGCAGTACCCAAGTTCAGGTGGCCACATACTGATGGTACCGGCGACAAAACCGCTAGTACGAATTTGCTGGGCTAATAATCACATGGGTTGTTCTCAAAATTATGGGCCCGTTTGGTTAGGAAATATGGGGATACTCAGATGGGACCGAAATTTTGGGAACTACCCACATGATCGCATCCATCCAGGCCCAGCTTGAACAACTTTTTCGTCTCTGCCACACGTTTTGTGAGACAGCCTGGGCGCCCTAGGACGCGTAGCTGTGTTAGCCGCGCGTCGGCGTATGTACAACGCTGGTAGCATGATAAACTGGACTCAGCTGCACTTGGGGGGGCTTGGGAGCATGTCTTGTGTCGAGGTCTCTCCTCAACTACCTACTACCTCTAACACCTGCTGGCTTTCGTCATTGTGCCGCTGTCTCCTGGAGGGCACCTGCTCTGCTCGCGCCAGGTTTCCCTTCCGGCTTCGCATGGCCGAGGGCCGGATGAGCGTGTCGGCCGGCGCCTGCAGAAGCGAGATCTATGATGACATGGCGGTCTTACTCAAAAGGTTTTTCAATGCTGGTTACATGGCAGAATAATAGCTCTTCATTCGATAATTGGCGGAGCTTGCAACAAACCTGTAACCCTGCTTGCAAGCAAAAGGTTCCCACTGGACCTGTAGGAATCACAAGTTAACAGGATTCGCAGAGAATTCGAGATTCATTTGCTACAGCGCTAGAACGGGAGGCTCCACAATGGGCATAGACATAGAAAGCTTCTGCAAGATATCAAAGATCCATCCTGAACTTTGGTGTTGTCATCACCCTAGCCCAGAATTTCTGCTAGTCTCTGCCAGCCTAGGGAGTCCTGGCGACTATGCACGCTTCCTCTGCGATCCTCAGCACTTCTGGGTGTCTCAAAATTACTCTTTCTTGCCCAGTTTCCATCAATAGGAGGCGCTAGCATATACTCCAATTTACTATAATATACGGCTTATAGTAATAAGGACTCCCAACAGCATCCCCAAAAACACTCTGCAATCCCTGTTTCCATGTCATGTGCCATTTTCTTTTCCCTGCCAATATCTATATAGACTCTATATAACCCCTATATAGCCCTATCCCTAGACAACTAACCCTATATAACCTTATATACCCCAACATACCTCTATATAGCCCTATCTACACCCTATATTGTTCTGGGACTGCTCCACTCCAAGCCTGGGAGGCCAGGCCATGACGCTGTAAGGCCGCGTGCCCTTGCTGCAGGTAGACCTGTCCAGCATTGACGGTATATCCTAGTCTCGTATAGTATAGTATAGTATAGTAGGGTATGGTGTAATCTAGATTTGTATAGTATAGTATCGTGTCGTATAACATAGGGCGACACAATATAAAAGGCTACCTACTTATATATCATAGCACAAAGTTTTTCCAGTTAGGGGGCGGTGTTGCATGACAGACGTAAGGATGACGTAAGAGAAATTGGCGAAGAAAGAAGTTTCAAAAAGTAAACTCTTCCACCGCAACCAATTGGCAAATAACACGTCTTCCCTGATAGGACGATGCTACGAGGTGTAAGCCTCCTACAAGGATTCAAGCTAAGCTCATAATTTGAGGGATCTTGGAACTAGGTAATATATTATAGCCCCCGAATAAAGCCCTTATAGCCCGATTGTAACGCGCTACGAGTAGGTCACCTAACCCATTAGTAACTTGTGGGTCCCTTTAAATAGTCCCGCTCCACTCCTTCGGAGGGGTTCCAAGCAAGAGCTCCAGGAGTTTGATGCGACGATCCAGGACGACCAGCTGATCTTCGTCCTGAGCTAGAAGGGAAGCATGACACTTGTTGGTGCTTGTTCGTGCTGCTGCTACCTCTAGTTAGGGGACATCGTGTCTTGAGTTGTTTTCTTTAATTCGCTGTGTGTGAACATGATTGACGGTTTCCCGCTTGTTGCAGTCTTGCCTACAGTTGGGCGGGTTTGGGCAGGATGTCGTTGACCTGTTGAGATTGCAGGTCGCATTCATTCACCTACTTTCTCCAAACAAGGCTGGTGCTCAAATACATCTCGCCTTCTCCGAAGTCAATGCTGCAGCTTCTCAGCAAACTTGCTTCTTCAGCCAACCGTTGAGAGCCGAGGGCTGCAGTGCCAAGCATCCGAAAGTCTTCTATCTGGCCGGTCTGATGCAAAGCCACGCATGAGAGCCAGCTGATCGCTGCACATGGTGGACCTGACATTCAATCCTGACAGTATTTAATTCGTATTATATGAATATGTCACATCAGGACTCTATTGCAAGTGCTGAATTCAGCGCCGCTAGACATGGCTGCCTCGCTGCCTCGCCGCGGAGTCATGCGCATAAACTCGAAGGGGCTACTACTGCCGAACACCCGGACACGAATGCAGCTGCACTTGGGTTTGCGCGCACTACGCATGCTCCATTTCTACTCGAGGTGCTTGCTATGCAAGTGCAAGGAATGTGCGGCTGGGGGTTGCTGGTCTAGCTCTATGGTCAGACATGGCGCAAGCCATTCAGCACCACGTCTTCCAGGTTCTTCGCAGAATCTCGACCCATTGAGCGTTGGGTGCTGTATTCGAAGTGGCGCACTATGCCTTGTTGGAGGCAAGGAAGGTTCGAGCATGCATGCATGCATGCATGCATGCATGCATGCATGCATGCGTGCACTTCCACATGAAGCTGAAGTAACAGAGCCTGGAAGGATATATGATATACGAGATGCAAACGCATCCAACCAAGGCTCACTGATGTGCGTGTTTGTCCATGATGCAAGTGCATTTCCCACATGTATGTAATACTTGTTTGCATCAGTCAGTTCGCTGGCTGCAACTAGCGACTGAGACAAGCTGGCACAGGAGATGCGCCCAACGTCGCCCTGCAGGAATCACAACTCATTTTCTCAGCAACCATGGTAAGGAGCGTTGCAACAGGTTGCAACCAGTCACAAGGCTCATGACTAATGACAATAACAAGACACAGGCTGCATCCGATCTCAAACCTTGCTATCCTCAACCGAAGTGGATCAAGCCCTCTCCGCTCTCCGAATTATTGCAATGCTTGGAGCAGGAAAGTGGCAGGGGGCAGAATGGTAGCTTAAGATCTGAGCGGCTGGCACCACGCAATCCGTGATATACTACCATAAACGTCTATCCCTTTCGGAACTGTACAGGGACCTCAACCGCTGCAGACCAGGGTGACATCGCTGTAGACCATAGTACCTCGGCCATAAGGTGAAGAATTCAACGTTAGAGGGGTCCCAGTGCATGTGGCAGACCCGCATGATAGTCATGCTAGGCCATTTAATCCCAGTGGAAATCTGCAAGGTAAGAATAGAACGGCGATTATTATGGAGCAACATTCCTGGCCTAGTTGATGTTGAATCCCGCTTTTGATTAGTGCCCAGGGTGGGGGTGGGTGGGTGGGTGGGTGGGTGGGTGGGTGGGTGGGTGGGTGGGTGGGTGGGTGGGTGTGTAGCTGGGGGGCGCAATACAGTGCTTTTTGTCAGAACTTGATTTCGGAGCCCTATTCCACTTGGGAAATGCCGGTTAAGTAGAAATTCTTTCTGCAAACTTGGTAAAGTTTCTGATGGGGCCAGCATGCTCTTGGTTTTAAAAGCCAGGCCTTTGAATAAAAAGACCAGGTGTGATTACTTGTGGACTCTGGACTCTGATGCCAGCAAAAACAATCCAATTCTTGTTTAGCAGCTTGTTCGAACAGGCTGGGCAATCAAATTCCAACTGGGGTAGTCCACCTGACCCTGTGATCCTCAATAATATGCACTTGGGGGGCTTCATTATGTAAAGCTTTTTGGGTTGGATTAATGGTGAGGCCAATCTACTTGTTCTGATTGTCTTTATTCGATTTCTAATGGATTATGTACTTGTTAAGGCTGAACTGGGTTTAATGAGTTCTACAAAGAGTCTTTCAATGATTTGTCATAGATTCTGATTGATTTCAGTAGGTTTTAAAGGCCAGGCCCTCGAACATAAAGGCCCTTCCCCTTCCTATTCTTTTCAAAGCTGAACGGACCCATTCCTTCAGAATTCAAAAGAATCCGAAGGATCTCCCCTCCATTGCTAATCATAATAGGGGTCAGGTTCGCCCAGAACCCCCCAATTCGTTGTCAGGGCTTGTATGGACTTTTTAGTATTTGGGATCATCAGGTTCCAACATGATTACTACGTGCGCGGCGCGTTTGAATAGAGCGTAGAGTGTAGAGTGAAAGAGTCTCCGGATCGCAACCCCTTCCCTACACGTTTGGGTCCACTTTTGCGTTGCACCATTCAGCAGCCGAGGTGTCAATGTCCCGAAACAAGAAATTCAAATGCCGCATAGTATTGGTAATCCATCATGCATAGGGCATGGGTTCATGAGGCAAGCATACGTCGACATCACGGCAAGGGGCAGCAGGATCCACAGCACACTGCAAAGCTCCAGGTCCGTTTGGTGGAGGCCTTCTGCTGGTATTGAGACCTCGGAGAACTACAGGGGATGGAGAACCAAAAATACTGCAAATATTGGGGTACAGGGTATATAAGGCGGTGCAGTATTTCGTGCAAAATTTCATCTATCCAGAGTATCACCCAAACATCAGCCAATAACGTGTCATTGTCTGGTCATCATGTTGCCTTGCCTTTAGGGAGCGTGCTTCTTTCGATGCTGGTACTTTGGCGTGGGGAGCTAGTTGGCTGGAACAGACATGCATATGCAAAATGTCGAGCCCGCCATGGTGTCAACCCCACCGTAGCATATCACTTGAACCAGCCAAAGCCCCACAGGCTCACCCTCATTCCCTGAACAGCTGTTCTACATCCCAGTTGCGAAATGCAGCACTGCCTCAAGGCTTGACATGCGAAGCCGCGGCACCGGCGCCGGCGAGGGCTGTCAAAGTCAAGAGTCAAGAGGAATGGTGGCACGATGGGCCACGCACAAAACCCATGCGCAGTCGACGTACGCACAAGACTACAACTATCAGAACCTACAGTACTATTGAACTGACGAAATCCTAAGCAGAGTTTGATTCGAAAGACCTTTAATCGAGTTTAGTTGTGCAGCCCTGAGGCCTCTGGAATCTCGCTTGATGTCCCAGTCCCACCGTGGAGGAGAACCTTGGGGGCAGTGTTCATTCAACCCTCGGGCAACTGGCAAAAAAGCCGTGCAAAAAGCCCTTGCGCAAAAAAATAGAAGGCATGTTACCCTTGCCTACAACCTGTACAGTGACCCGAGGTTTCCATGTGGTTCATGTTCTTTTCGATGTGATTCTCCAGCATGGGGGAACTATCCCTAAACCCTAAACCCCAAATAATGCAGTTTCCATTTCATTCCCCTATTCCTTTTCAAACTGATCCACCAGTATATGGCCAGAATGCTATGATAGTATCCTGCAAGCTCTACAGGATTTAAGGTTAGGGATTACCCTAAACCTTAAGGGGTCAGAGTTTTGGTGAGCCAAAGTGCTGGGAGCCTCCGAAGACGGCAGACATGACTCCCATGCCTGCAAGGTACGCGTGGCAAAGGCAAACCCACCGAACCCAAGGTTTAGGATAGGTTGGGCCCCCACCCACTAGGGGCGACTACAAGGGATACGTACTGGTAATTATAGTAAGGTAGGTTCTCGTATAAAGTGAATATATGACAAATAGTGACTGGGGGCCACTCACCCTAAAATCCCTATCACTTCACTGAAGGGTAGTAGGGAAAAAGGGAGTATACGTAATCTCTATGTAATATTCCCTCCTTCCATACTACCCCCCCACTCAGACACTAAGATCACGACATGGGCCCCAACACTGGGTCAACTATGGCCCGAACCCACCAAGAACTGTCAACAAGACCACTATAGTTCCCCAAGAAGGATCCTGGAGCTCCCCTGCTCTATGGGCCTCTTCTATGCATACTATGGGCCTATAGCCTGAACCTTAGATGACCATGTCGTTTGTTTGGGCCATGTCTTTGCCTGGACCCAAGGTATGCGCGTTGAAGCTGCCGTCGCCGCCTGTGCTCCAGCTCAGCACCAACGCGCCTGAGCGCCTGGGAAGTCCGGGATGCAGGGCTTCCTGTTCTAGCTATGATAGTCTAAACTCCTGGTATCCCCCTTAACAACCCCTACATCACTCTCCTATGCAATCCCCTGTATAACCCCTTGAAAGATCGAAGTTTAGACTGTGCATCTCTCACAGGCTATGTCGGCTCTCTCAGTCATTCACAACATATTCACAAGGAGCGTCGCGTAGCCGTGAAAATACTAAGGGGCCACCAACTATCTGAAAAGACCCTTCGTCAGTCTTCGAAATGAAATACGATGGAAAAATGCGATAATGTTCAGGCAGAATATTTCACACCGATAACATTACATGCCAATTTCCATTCCCTTTTCCATAAGGTCCATATACCAAATCTCGCCTGGGAGTGGCCGACTGTTGAGCTCTGGCGGAGGTTCAGCGAGTCTATCACGTTGGTCAAGGCTTCAACCTTGCATCTCAGTACATAACAGCTTGAAGTTTAGGGTTTAGACAGCTTGGGGTTTAGGGTTTAGGATTACATAACAGCTTGGGGTTTAGGGTCTAGAGTTATAAACTTGTAAACCACTAAATAAATCCATCTTCCATGTTTTTTTTGAAATGTTCTTGTCCCGTTGAGTCTCGGTTATTCGGGCAACTTCCCCTGATACCCTATACACTCCCTATATACCTCTATATAGCCCTACATCGTCCCTATATTATATAAACCCCATATAGGCCCTAATCTAATCCCTATATAGCCTCTACAGAACTTCTATATAACCCCCTCTTACGACATATAACCACAGTAGAACTCGTTTCGGGTAGCCGTGCTGGATCTGGCAAATTCGACTCTGGGAGGCCGAGTTGCCTGCAAAAAGGGGTAAGGGCAGATGAGGGACTACCTGGACCCCCAAAATATGTAAAATAATGGCCTTTATGGCTATTATTAGGGGTTTAGGGCCATTATTTTACATACTTTTGGGGTTTAGGTATGCATCGCCAGGAATAAAGTTTCAACCTACTGGGGCCTCGGGGCTTGAGAGAGAGGACCCACATACAGAAAGACGGTGCGTAGTATGGGCCGTGTTGCGGAGTCCATGATTACCCTGTTTTAAAGATTTACTATTTCAAGCTTCCAGCGCAGTCCCCATAGTGCTCAGTAGAGGAGTCTATGGAGTAAAAGGGGCTGGCGTGGTGCAAGCTTGGATGGGATTGCTCTGAGGAACATCGAAATAGGCATGCCCTAAGAGAAGTGGAGTGGCCAAGACAGTTCTTGTAACATCGCTAGGGCAGCTTTTAGACTAGTTTGCTGTGCTTTCACCATGCTCCTGGTCCAGAGATAGAGACGAGGCGTCCCCGCTGCCGCGCATGGAGCCTCTGAGGCGCATGATGGCCTCCTCCTCAGCTCAACTTTGTCGGAGATGAGAACCAGCAATGTAGGAGCCACCCTACGATCCTGCTTCCCGAGGGTTTCTTCCAACTTGGCCCGAAGCAAGCATCCTAGTCCTGACTTGAACCTGATTAAACTTGAGCCGGTTGGTTTGCTCTTGTTGCAGGGTGGGTTCTGATGAATCCTTGCGAGAAATTGAGCATGCCAGTGCCCCAAGGATCGAATTCCTCTCGAGGCTTGTGGGTGACATCCTGCGCAGTCACCGTCAGAGTCCCCCGCTCCTTCAAAGTAATTTGCATGTGGTTTGCTACCGCTCTTCATCATAAGGAAACATAAGGACACCCCTAACAAAAACATTCACCTATATTGGGGTGTTATTATTCAGGGAGGGGATTACGAACATCAAAGAGGCTCCTCGGCGTGCTGGCTCAAAGGCCTCCAGCCATCGACTGAGGAATCTTCGACATCCTCCGCTTCCACGCTAAAAGCGCAGGGGGTACGTAAACTTGAAAAGCCCTTAATCATAGCGACTTATGCGAGCCCATCCCACCCATTTGCATGAATCTTGTGAGGCCCTATCCCAACCATTTACACACATGTGCACTTATTATAACGTGTGAAGCAGCTGCTGCATGTGGTGTCTCTTCACAGGAACTGTAGTAAGCGGGCATTCACACTGTGATATGTCCAGCAGTAGCATCTTGAAACCATCGTATGCTTCGCTACATACCTTGGGTTGGGCCCCAGCTCGCTTATGGTGATCACACGGGACAATGGCAATTATCTCAAGCCTTCTATATGTTCTAGTATACCACATCTACCCTCAAAAATCAATAAGGATCCTGAAAAGCCAGCGGGATGAGAAACTGGTAGTTTCCACATAGCCTCCGAAATACGATAATCCTGACTGTAAGGACCCCCCAAAAATGGAACCCCTAATTTCTGGCAACCCAAATCTCGATAAGCCACTCTATATTGCCATTTTCCATTTCATTTTCCAATTGAATTTCCATAATGGACGTAACATCCCAAAAAATCATGGAACCCTCTCATATGAGCTCTAGTCTAAACTCCTAGGATCCCCCTTACTAGCCCCCATCTTACTCCCCCCTATAACCCCCCACGAAATATCCCCCTTCTTATAGAGTTTAGGCCCTAACCCCTGTATAGTCCCGTACAAAATCACCCCTTTAAGGAGTTTAGACCCTAAACCCTAATACCGATACAAACCCCTAGATGATCCCCCTTTCAGGAGTTTAGATCCTAAACCCTAAACCTATATAACCCCCTAGATGATCCCCCTTTAAGGAGTATAGCTCATACATGTTCCTGTCCTCCATGGACTCGAAGCTCAGAGCTGCTTGTAGCCGCTCTAAGAGCTGCTGCGCCCAAGGGCTGGGCTCTAAGGCCAGGCTACCTTGGCTGGAGGACTGGTTTAGGGTTTAAGGTTTAGACACGCGCATCGCACACAGCAAGCACGGCAGATACTGTCCCGTCCGGCAAGGCAGCACATTGGTTTAGGGTTTAAGGTTTAGGGCTTACGGTTTTGGGTTTCGGGTTTCGGGCTTAAGGGTTTAGGGTTTAGGGGTAAGGGCTACAATCAATATTTCCCCATATTACTGGACATGGGAGGGATCAAATAGGGGTTGTGTGGGATTTATATAGGGTTTAGGGATACTACCTCCACTAATGGAGGAGAAATGGCAATGGACAACTAAATGAACATTTGATTACACAGTGATTCATGTCCGACGTAGGCTTTTCTTGTGCAGAAAGTATTACGTTCTGGGTTTAGGGCTAGGGTTGTGAGCTTTTGTTTGCTTTGGGGCGGAGGGAGCATGGTATCAATTCGTATGAACCCCCTCTCTGCGTTTCTCCACACAGCCCTCGCTGAGTCCAATGCTCTGAGTAACAACTACTCACGAATGAACTGCTACAAGTAGTAGCTGCTTGTCAACTTGGGCGAGGGTTTGTCTGAGAACTAAGGGAGACGCTAGCTTCATTGTTCCTGAGCAAAATGTTGAACAGCAGCGGATCAGGAAATGTTATGACAACAGCGGGGTGGTGCAAGCAGCTAGCTAGTTACACGTTTCTGGCTCCGAATTCCCGAACTCCACAGTGAACTCGTACCACGTTCTATTCGGTGCTTCCTGGACTAGCAGCAAATGCACCACCCAGACCTGGAAGGTCACTGGCTAAAAGCCAGAGCGCTTGCTATGGGGCTGGCATGGCTCCAAGAAACATCCTGAATTTCGCTTGTCAGCTGTAGTTCCCGGTTTCAAGTTTGCGTACTTACAGGTGAATCGTGAAAATCTCATTTCATTCGTATAAATTTCTGCTGAGGATAGTAGATCAGCCTCGCCACCCGGCCCTTCTATTCTATCTTGCGAGTTTAGAAGCAATCCTCATGGGGCGCTGCGGGATGTGTGAGAGGGGTGTGAGGGTTTACGGTTCAAGGAGGACTAGCTAAGGACTAAATCCATTACACGCCCCGCTTACACCTCCTTATTTCGTCATCTTGCTGGATGCCGCTGGGGTACGCTGCAGGAACCTTAGAATACACGCCCACGGCAAGCCAAGAACGCACCGGTCAAGTCAATCGTATGGAGCCCCGGCGACGGAGCTCCATAACTAACTCAGCTCTGTAATCAGAATTGGGGCATTTGGGTGTATTCGTGTCTTGGGGGAGGTCTCAGGATGCTCAGAGCAGGCCAGGGAGCTCCGATGCCTGATGCAGCTGTGCACCCGACTGGGTGGGCTGCATCAACCGAAGGATGGCCATGTTGTACCTGTGAAGTGGCGCTGACGCTTCAGAAGATAATCTGCTTAGCTCTGTCCGGCTGTTGTGCCTGTGTTGCAGACGAGGTAAGGCTAGCATACGCCTAGCACTAAGCTTAAGGCTCAGCAAAACATTAAGTGTCATTCCTGCTGGGTCTGAAGGGAAGCCGAGGCACAGGGCATCTCCGCTGGCAAGGTCTTCGCATCTCTTGCAGTCAGATGCGATGGCATGTTCCACCTCTCTGCGCGACTCTTCCTCAGGAAGCTCTGTGGCATCAGAGAGTGCGGATCGTAACACAACAGTCTAGCCTAGCGAGCACAAGCAAACACCCAACAATCGCCGAGACATAGCATTGCCACACGTGCCCCGAGATCCCTAGATTGGCCATGGAACCAGACCAAACAGGCTCAGGTACATCGGACAAAAGACCGTGCTATAGATTTCGGATGATTCTCTAAGGTCTGGTCTTGTTGATGCATTCCATTAGACGAGGCTATCTCCTAGCTGAGAGTTTGAATGGCAGGCGCGAGTAAATGAGGGACATGAGGCCAACTACATGTACCCACCCCTAGCGCCGGAGCAGAGCATGGAGTCTAAGGCCTTCTTACAAAAAGGAATCTTCACTTCGGGGCCTACCTTATATGAGCCATAGTCTAAACTCCTAGTATACCCCCTAATAACCCCTATAGTAATCCCCAATATAATCCCCCATATAACCCCCTTTAAGGAGTGTAGACTATAGCTCATGTAGTATTCTAGAATATGTGCTCAAGATCCGGGGACTCCTGTTCTCAACCATATTCCAGATGCAAGTGGGCCACGCCGAAGGGCCAGGTTCCGCCACTATCTTCAGCCTATACCAGCTGGTCTAAAGGACGGCTAAGCATAGTCACTATGGTAATTATTAGTCTGCCTACGGGCTCCTTGCATGGTGGGATCAAATTCTGCTTTAACAGCAAATCAGTTGTGGTAATTGCAACATTAAGGGCAGCTGTAGTGATACTAGGGCGATACTGTGGCTTTGGACTAGACTTGGCGCCACAGGACAACACAACGACAGCTCAACTGGCATTCTGGTACTGAACAGCACGGACTGCACAGCGAAGCATCGCTTATCAACACGCGAGTTGACCGCGCAGGAAAATCACAAGCCGCGTTGCGAGTAGGCGCGGCCGCAAAGTGTTCATGCGGACTTGTTGCAGCGACGTTCGAGTGGCAGATCGCCGGTATGAAAAAGATTGAACGACAACAGGGAAAGACATACACTCAGCTGCGGCTTGCTTGTGCAATGTGCTTACTTTTGTGGTAGAGTCTATAAGGCACTGGGCAGGCTACACGCCAAACCAGCCTCTGTCAGAAGAACATCGTGAGCCACCCTGATGGACTCCAAATCCTGAGTCTTTCCAGCGTCAGCGAAAACACTGTGCAAGGGACACCATCTTGGAGGCATGCTGTACCTCCAAGGGATATTGCCCATGTCATTGCAGAGTGACTTTTGGTGGCTTACCCAGCACTTCCCCTGAGACCCCTGGCCAACGCTTTTTTCACCAAGGACCCTCAAACCCTCACCCTGTGTGCTGCTATCGGACCTACTTACCATCATGACAGACAGAATGATTTGTATAGAATCCTGTAAAGATCATGAATAGAAAGCAACGTTCCAAGGGATGTTTATGCAAACCCCCTGTGCTATACATTCTGGCATCAGGTCCCCTCGACCCGCCATCCAAGTCTCCGAGCGGAGCTGCAAAAGCTGCACTCGACGCCCAGCAGCATCCCCCTGCAGCTGGACGTCCCACCTGTTTATACTGATGCTGACGCTGCTTAGGAGGGGCTGCGAGTGGTCACAGGCAATATTGTATACGACATGGACTTACAAAATGTATGTATGGACTATCACTTGCGGAATGTAGAGATGATTGTGGGGATCCGCATTCCCACTCCCCCTTCATCACGAATAATTGTTGCTACGTCGGAGATTCCAGCCTGTCATCTTCTGCTAGAATTTACTAAAATGTGTCTTACGTGTTGCCTTGCCTTACTCTACAATATCTAACAACCTCTGACTTTGTAGGAGTGACATGTGCGCTCCTTGCACTTATTCTTCTTGTCGTCATCATGCTTACACACACTGCTGGCTAGTATTGCAATGATTCAGACTTTCTTTCTGATACGTGGCTTCTACCTGGTTTCTGCAGAGGCCAACCCAGACGAAACCAGCATTGATGCGCCGAGCCGGCAAATCGGCAAACATCGTTTGCCCCGCGCCTCTCACAGCTCAGCAGCACGAGCCGCCGCCTGAGAAATTCCTAAACCCTGAATAGCGGTGTCCATTTTATTTTCTGTTGTTCCGTTTGATTCTCCGCTATTCACCTTTTTGCATCTGGGCTCCACTATTCACCTAAACACTGCATCTGCTTGTCCTTTGCAGCTGCTCGGTCTTCGGTTTCATGTTGCTACCAGGGCGCCATGCGAAGGATGCAAAGGCTCGCGCAAGCACCT